CATTTAAACCATGCAACTCTCTAGTCCCTTACGTACACACGTTGAGAAAAATCTCTTCATTAAATGACAAATCGTACATTAAGTTGCAGTAAGCGCGACGCCATGGCGTATGAGTAATAATAATAATAAGAAGAAATTATTATAGTCATCCATACAAAGTATTCAGCGTGTAAAAGCTTCAGCGCGCTGCTGCAATGTTAACAAAGTAAGCAACCGTGCATATGAGCGCTAATATGAGATTAAGAAGTGTGAGTGCGACATCATTGTACCGAAGTGAGAGCGAATTATGACTGATAACCACGCAAAGACAGTGCGAAATTATGTGAGTGTTAATGCAGTAAGGCTTGAGTGCTTGAGTATGGCATAATACTAGCGGCTATTTGCACAAGATAATGTTGTTAAGTGTAAGGATGAATAAGCGATTTTAAATTAAGCATATCTGAATTAAATATATTCACAAACATATATATTTTGAGGCAAATAACAGATGGCAGACAAGAAAGAATCTTATATTCCAACAAAAGGCGCTTTTAGCCAGCAAGCAATACCTACACATACATGTATGTATGTACGTATATCACAACTGGTTGGAAAATGCAAAATTTATATTTTCTACCAATAAAATACGAAATTGATGAAAAATTTCAAGTTTGAAGCAAAATAAGTAATAAAAGAAAAAATATTTTCCTTTAAATATTATACTTAAAACTAGTTCAGTTAAATATATTCATATTTAACTATGAGTATTCTTCACTGAAACTATGCCGTTGTTTATTCTTATCCATATATACATATGCCATTATATTAAAATTACATGGAACACGTGTCGGGCCGATTATTGTTGGTTTAACCTCAACACACACAAACACACGCACACAGCCGCAGAAGAAAATCTATTTTCATGCCGTGCACGTATACGCACCGTTGCACCAGAGAGCATGCCGAGCGTAACGTACACATAAAAAGGTTTAGAAAAATATGAAAATATATTTATATATTTCCTAGAAAATGATTCTACGCACACATATGTAATAATATATATGTATAAGAGTATATAAAGTTTTATATTTTAATGCTTTAGTATATATGGGTATTTGTGTATTTGTTTTTGTATCCACAAAGCAATTACTTAAGCATTTACCTTAACCAAAGTCAAAAGCTTATGAATTGCGGTCTGTTGTCAAGGCGCCGTAAGGGTAAGATAGAAAACAGGTACGGACGTCAGGCAGTCAGTCAGTCGCAATTAGTATGTATTATTCATGATAGCATTTTGCTGCCGGAAATTAGTATTTATAGAAATATTAGGGTTTTATTAAAAGTGCGGTAGAATGTGATCAACACACAGGTGCTTAAAGAAGTATTTTCACAAATAAGTTTTCCACAATAATCGCACAAAACATGTTGTGACTTGGATTGAACGCAGATATATACAGGAAGAAATGCAATTATAATAGAGTAGGTCACATATAAATTTAAATAATTTTAAGACATTCTACATTAACTTAAAATTTCTCACCTCCTCCAATGCCTAAATAAAGGCAATGATGCATACGTTTCTTTCAAAAAAAACGTTGCCTACATTAAGGCACGCTGTTAACATTAGCATGGACACACACCACATTCTAAATAACACACCACATAAATAATAAATTGAAAAAATGTATAAAAAATATTTCATTTTTATTAAAAAACATAAAATAAAAAATAAAAAAAATTCCTTTAAAAAAATAAAAACTCATACATTTTTCACTATAACCAAACGTTTCTATATATTTTAATTTTAAAACTATAACTACTATAACTATAAAATTTTTTTCTAATATCTCATTAGTGGAAAAATCTCATGAGCATTGCTTAAGGTTTGATAATCAGAATAAAAATAATATTTTTCCCCTTTTTTTAAAGAAAATTCGACATATTTTACCTCATGCAACGATTTAAACAATTTCTTTCTCATTTTTTTCTTATATTCATCCATATGTATGTACATATTTGAAATTTTTACGTTATGCTTTCTAATATTTCCAATCTATTTCTATTGTTCACCACACATTTTTTCATATTTCTTTATTATTACGAGCAGCATGTTTTAATTAAAATTGACTATGGAGAATAGTTTCCAGTTCTGCAAAACATAAGTATGTATGTATATTCTACAGCGTATTGTAAGAATGTGAGGAGATATTACAAAATACCTTCGCGCTGGAATTTGATGCATAAAAACTTTAATATAAAATTACACGCCTACATATTGCATTCAATTCACTAAATACATATATATTTAGTTGTAATTTTTGTATACAATTTTATATTGAAAATAAATATCTGTTTTGAAATATTTGTTGAAATAAATAAATATCTTTGTTATGTTCAATATATCTCAAAGTTAAAGCGAACAAATCTCAGATTAAAATTAAAGTACAACAAAAAAAAAATTAAAAATATTCAGTCGACCTATATGTGTATGAAATATTTAGTAGTATTATTAAGTCTTTTACAAAAAAATGAGTACCGGCTATGCTTTAAGTTACATCCATTTTTCTCACAATCACGTACTATTTGGCTCCTTGCTTAAGTCAAACCCAAAATGCCAAACAAATGTTGTGGTAAACTAAAATTAACTAAAAATAGTATTTATATTATTTTCAAATACATCTTTATTTTCTTTCAGTTATATTGTACCATTTTAACTTATTCAATTTATTATCTTATTCTCTTTTATATTATATTTTATTTTATTCTAATTCTATTATTTTCTTTGAATTTCTTTATAATTTTTGTATATTTTATTTTAATTTATTCAATTTTAATGCAAATAAAACGGATGAAAGGTGTAAGGGAAAAGAGGCATTTTCTCCATTTTTTGCATTTTCACTCATTCTATCGCCTTTACTTTTGTTATCAATGCTTTCTTATATAATACTTATCACGACTTACATCCCAGCATTAGAGGATTTCTCCTGAATACTCATTTGCAGTGTGCAAGCATCCAATCATTCTCGCTTATGACACGAAATACGAGTGTTACTCTGTTTGTCAGTTTGTCATTTCTTCGCTTTCCTAGAGCTTGTCAGTTGTTCACAATTCATTGGCGTATCGCTTGCTTTTCAGCGATCGCTCTCTTCTAAGTGTGGAGTTGACAGCTGATAGCTGGAGGCGCCGAGTACCATGCAGAGTTGACTCTCAAATGGTTTCTTTGTGAGTAAATCGCCAAATTGCATCCTACCGTTGAGATGACAAGTAAGCGAAGTCTCACGTGAGCATTTATATACACACACATATATGTTGATATACTCATATTTCATATGTGCTTTCCGCGCTTGCCTTTGCTGCTGTTCATTTGTGTGCAGATATGAGCATGCATTGGATTCTGACTGGTGAATTGGTGATCTGGTGAAGCATCGAAAATGCCAAACTGTGCAAATTCCTAAAAGCAAATTCTTCAAATTTCCATTGTTTGCATTGTTTTGCAACGAATCAGTTGAAAAGCGGTATTTCAAAAATTTTTGTTTCATTTCGCCTGCTGCTGATAAATATTCTAGCTGAGCAATAGCATAACTTTAAAACAAATACGGAAAAAATAAAATCAAATATATTAGTCTAAATTAAATAAAATTATGTTTTGAAAAAATTAAAGTAGTATAAAATAAAAACTAAATAACAAAAATTTAAAGTAAAAAAACGATAAGCCTCAAGCAAAAAAAACTAATTTAATTTAAACCAGATTCAAAAAAAAAATTATAAAATTCAAATAAAATAATTCAAAATATAACAAATAAAATAAACAAAAAGTAATATTTCAATTAAAAAAAATATTTATAAAATAAAATACTATTGAATTAAGTTAAAATAAATATAATAAAAATAAATAAAATCAAATTAAATTAAATAAAATAAAAAAAAATTAAAATATAAAATAAAATAAAGAAAAAAAACAAAATAAAATAAATAAAATACCATTAAAAAACAATGTATAATAAAATAAAATATAATATATAATAAAATATAAAATAAGATAAAATTAAAAAATTAAAAAAACAATAAACTAAAAAACTAAATAAAACTAAATAGGTTGCATTAAAAAAAAATAAGTAAAATAAGAAAATTAAATTATATAAACTAACTTAAAATAAAATTAAAAAAATCTAGTTAATAAAATAAGACAAAATAATAAATAAAAAAATAAAATAAAACAGAATAAAATAAAATACAAACAAATTGTTTTTAACAATAAAATAAAAAAATTTAACTAATTGAAATAAAAAAAGTTATATTTATTAAAATAAATTATATTAATTGATATGTAATGAATGCAATTTAATATATTAATCAAATGAAATAAAATAAAGAAAAATAAAATGAAATAATATAAGCTTTATATAAAATAGGATTGCATCCGATGAAGCTATCTATTTTGAGCACTTGCCAGCTGGAGAAACGATCACTGCCAACAAGTATTGTCAGCAATTGGTCGAATTGAAGAAAGCAATTGATGAAAAACGTCCGATTTCGGCCGATCGGGCACGAACTTATGCACTCATCCAATAAAAAAGATTAAGCAAGTTTAAAAAAAGTTTTTGTAATATAAATAATATAAAAATAAAAGATATAAAACATTTAGTAACATGAATCAAGCCAATAAAAAATTAACAAAAGACCAAATTAAATAAAGTAAAAAAAAAATAAAAATAAAATAAATAAAGTATAATAGATTAAACATAATAATATATGCGTTATGCAGTGAAATAAATTTGGATAGAACATAGGAGATCAAAATTGAATAAATAATTAAAAAATAATAATAATTAAAAAGAGAAAAATTTTAAAATGAAGTAACTTAAAGGAAATATAGCAATAAAATTAAAATTTTAGTTATATAATTGCATATTACCTTTCTATACCTCCAAGTGTATATATATTTTTTAATATATTTAATTTAATAAAAATATAATGGCTTTGGCATTATTTTAATTATAGAAATATTTTTCTTCTTTTTCCAGCTCAATAATTCTTCAAAGTCAACACAACTCAAACAACTTACAAATGTCTGCTGCTGTGCATCCTTGAATTTATTTGAAAACGCTTAACTTGACTAGCCTAAGCGGCCATTTCGGTGAGTTTGTATATATAAAAATAGAATATCTGTATATTTCTTAACATGTGTGGATTATAATTAAAATATTTTTCCTACAACCAACATATGTATATGTAAGTGACAAGCGAAGTGCGTGTAAGAATTTAAAAATAAAATTGTATAAATCGATAAATCGATGAGTATATGTATGTATGTCTGTATGTATCCAAATAAATAAAAGCAAAACAAGAAAGGAAAATTAAATATTTAATAAATGTATCTATAGTGTAGTGTGTAGGAAGACTGGCGGAACTAAGGTGAATTGTTTTATGCTGCCTATATTTAGGCGCCAATGAGGGAATTGCTTGTGCAATGTAAAATCCTTTATCTATTACACTAATATATATATATATTTTTTTTTATTTAAAATATAAACATTCACTAACTCCCAGTAGCAGGCACATTTTTTATTTATTAATTTATCAGTTTGAATGGCGATCCATTAATTTGATTTTAACACATTCAAAGCCAAATAATTAATGCGATACCGTAGCTATAGTGACATGAAGACGATATTGTGGATAAAATGGCATACGCTGAGCTACATGCATAGGCGTTGAATTACATATTTATATGGACTATATAATTTCAAATTTAAGCTTGCCTATATATATCTGTATACATATGTATCGTATATATGAAACAGCAAGTGTTCACATTTTCAACGCTATGCGCCTAACTGTAGGCAATATTCCAAAGGGACTTGATAGTCGCACATACACACAAACACAAAAACACTATTTATGGTAGTATTTAGTGCAGTTTGTATATACACACATATAAATATGCATGCACATATATAGCAAGCGCATACTATAGATATGTCTAAATATATTTATGTCCATTGATAATTGTGTTTACGCCATTTTGTGGCAAATATCAGCGGTTGCATGACTGTCTAGTTCTGTTTTGGCTGCCGGCCTACCAGCCTGCCTGCCTGCATGTCTCTTTACATTGACATTTCACTCGACATTTTGCCACAACAATAGGTGAACTCTGCTCTGTGCTATGTGCACATGCATACATGCAAACTACATATACATGTAGCGCGTGTTAGTGTACGTGTGTGTGCGCAAATAAATTAGCTGCAATTTCCTCTTGTACTTAACCAACTCCCACATTGTTTCAATTTATTTGTGTTTATCTACCAACAGTTCTACTTAACTGTACTCTACACTCTGCTCTACTCTCTGCTCCTACTCTTTGTGCTTTCTTGTTTTATAACCATTTTGTCCGCTTTCATATTTTAAGGCTTTGAGTCAAATGCATTTGCTTCCACAATCAGCTTAGACGTGATTAATTGCATTGCTCTTTAAAATTTATTATCGCTTTGGTGTTTAGCAAAGCTTGCTAATGACCTTAAGGTAATTATCACGTTTGTTTAGTGACAAAATTAGTGTACTCAGCGGCTGGAGTCGAAAATTATAGTAATTTCATGCATGTGACTATGCGTGATGCAATTGGGTAGATCCTCCATGATGAGTAGCTACTTGGAACGCATTCATTTGAGTTTGACAGAAGTATTTTAAAGTTTAAAAAAATTAAAAATATTTTGGAATGGTTTCCCTCTTTTCACTGTTTGGGGCGCATTTGGAAATACCAAGTACAGCCAAGTCCTTCAGCAGCTGGTGTTTACAAAGGGTGTGGAGGTCCTCGTCATTCTTTACTTCCCCGGCAGTTAGTACATCGAAAGCTTTCGCAGTTGGAGTGTTCTTATTCATACGGGTCATATAAATTAGTCAGCGCAGCCGCTGCTTCCTGATTCGCTTGATTACGTCAGAGTCTTCGTACATCTTATGCAGTATTCGCCGTTGCCAAATCGCGGAGGATCATTAATCTTATTCAAAACCATTCCCTCAAAAACTCCTTACTCATCATATGTTGTCGACGTAAATGTCTCTGTACTATAAAGTAGGACGGGAACGATGAGTGACTTGTAGAGCACAGCTCAAAGTAGCACCTGCTGGCAAGAGTGATTCGGCAACTATATTTTCAGGCTGACATTGTTGTTGGTGTTAATATTGGTTCCAATATAGATGAAACCATCTACGCCTACAAAGTTTTGTCTGCCAATAGTGACATGGCAGCCTGATCTCAAATTATACGCTTCCTATTTCAGTCAGGGGAACGAACTTGATGCCAATGACATCAATATTATCAATCCGATTTTAAGCTCGATAGTTCTTCGCAGCCGTATTTGCATAACTCGTCCGGCAATCCATCGATCCCCGCCGCTTTATTGATTTTCAGACGGTTTATTCGAATTCCTTCATAGCCAGCTAGTGGAACGTCCTTTCTATCATCATCGATTGCGGTTGTTATTTCGTCATCCGCTGGTATTGTACTTTCACTGCTATTCAACAGGCTGGGGAAATATTCCCTTCATAGATTATCTCTCTGTGTCCTACAAGAGTATACGCCAGTCTTGAAACCTTCTGTAAGCCGCTGTCTCTTTTGGTGGAATTTTCGAACTTTACCCTTGCCGAAGAGTTTCTCAAGCTCTTCCAGCTCACGCATCTAGGCTTCTCTTCCTTTTCTGGTCTTACTTCCTTCTACACTTCTCGGTAACTATCCCACCTCGCGCATTATCGATTTGCTTTTGAATTTTTCGAACAAGGGCCACCCAAGTCGGAAAGCAATTTAACAAAATTAAATATGTTTACCGAAAATTCACAAACTATCATTTTATTAAAATATATAATTTTTTTCAAAAATGATATCTGCAAATAATTAAAAAAAAAACTGAAAAAAAATATAATTATTTTTTAATTAAAGTTCTTTAAACTATTTTTAAATCATATTATTTAATTTTTTTTCTCTCAAAAAAATAACTTAAATCTTATCTGAGATGACCTTTAAAGCATTTTTTTGTTGTTTTTATTTTCATCCCATCCTACAAGCATATTTTTAAGCATTTGCAAAACTCTACTCCCTCAGGTGTGTTTAGCCCACAAACGAAAGGTGTCGAATAACTGAAAATAAAAACTTAAAACAACAACTCACCACTCACTAAGCCGCCTCACCTTGGCCAGTTGACCTAAAAAAGGCAAAAGCGAAGCTTAATTATTTGAATACATACATATGTATGTACATGAGTACAGAGAGCAAGGAGAAAAAAAAAACGGTAAAGAGTAAAATATTTATTTCATTTCCGCCGCATACTTTGGCCATTGTAATGCCGCACACACGCCGAGCTTTAATGCCACGCACTTAAGTATTGTGTAATGAAGTAAATATAATACTGGTAATGCAATAGCGGAAAATGTGCAATTACACCACACTTGAACACAATGAGCAAGCAAGCAAGCAAGTGCATGAGTGTAAGTGACTCATTTGCGGCAGGCAGGCCAGACCAGGCCAGGCGGTCCACATTTGGTAGCGACGGTAAAGGAGGTGGTGCGACGCCTCCTCTTAACACATTTTCAAAAATTACACACATTCTTCGCACAAGTGCGAGCACAACAGTACAAGTATTGCAGCACCAGGTGGCAGGTAGCAGGTAGCAGGTAGATACATACATACCTACAGCCAGCCATACGTGATCTCTAAAGCAACTAGTCCACTTAAAACTCAAGAATTGTGTGCGCGCACATTTAGTACTCATCATTAATTCAATATGGCAAATGCACGTCGCATTCAACTCTACGCCTGTTGTTTCTTCTGCAAAAATGTTGTTGTTGCTCTCTCAAGCAATTGCAATTGGCATTTACCAATCAGCGGGCAATTCATCGATACCAACACGACCACCTGGCGAGTGTGCTTAGTGTCATACACATAAAGCTATACAAGTCAGTTCAGTGTATGTGTGTGTGGGTGTGTGTGGGGGGGGGGGGGGGTGCTGGGTTTCCTGGTACCTTATTAAGCATCAATAGTTGTTGCATATCGATTTCAAAACAGCTGCTACTCTGCTATTACCACTTACTGTTGTGGTCGTAGTTGTTGTTGTAGTTGTTGTTGTTAGTGATGTTGGTGGTTGTGGTGGCTTCCAATTGAATATGTCTCCACAATTTTCCATTTTCTAAGTGAAAAATGTTAATTTTCATTACTAATACCATTAAAGTCATTCAATGGATTAAGCCTTCTCGATAGTGGCGGTGAGGGAATGTTGAAGAGTGTTTTGCTGTTGGGATATTGATTTCTGTAACTATGCACATTCCACTTCCACTTCGACCGAAAACATACTCTTACTTCGTTTTGTGTACACTTTCTGGAATTTTATATGGTAAATTTCAATATTATTTACGTGTGCGCCTCCCTCACTTGCAGCTGCACACGTTCGCAGGGAGCACTCGCGTCGCTACCATATAACGTGCGCACCTAATTTTTTTAGTTGCTACTTTTGAGTATTTATATGCCATTGTGTATGGTCGAGTACATGCTTTTTAATAGTGCTGTAGGCAAATTCACTAGTTAGGAACTGGTTCGCAACTGGTCCGCAAAATGATTATTTTTCATGCTAGTAGTTGGTTATGTTAAGATTAGGAAAATTGTTGAGAGACTTCATTAAAAAAAACAACTAGTCCAAAACTAGTTCAAATGGGAAAATAATGTTACTAGTAAAATTTAGTACCTAATATTTTTTTTTTTTTTGTTTGTTTTTAATTTGACTTTGATTTATGATTTAACATTGATACTCTATATAGTATGCTCAAAAGAAATTTATGTAATAAATATGCAAATACAATAAATATTGACAAAATTTAATTATATTAAATAATATTGGAAATAAAAAATTTCAAAAATTTACAAACATTTTCAAAGTAAAAAATAAATTAATATTACTTCATAACTAGTAACAATTCATTATTTTTCGGACTAGTACAGTTATTTTTCAAAAATTCTACCAACAAACTAGTATGTGATATATCACTGTTTTGCTCACCAACCGCTGCGTGTATGCGTGTAAATCCATATATATGCGCATTAGTGAGTACTCAAGCTACCGCAATGACCATTAGACACGGAAATATCCAACATTG